TTGTAAAAAGGAGAAAGCAACGTTGACATACGCATGTCTAATCATCTCATCAACTGGAGTTTGTGCAGCTTGGAGAGGATCCACCCGTGGCTCTGCCCCAGACTGTTGCTGAGCTCGTCTCACAGAGGCGATTAAATTGAAAAATAATGGGACGAAAGTCCCACAACCACCATCCTTGAACAAAATCTTGAATGTATGTGTGGAGTACAAGGCCCTGTTTTCATTATCCGGAACAACCTGAACATAGCCAGAATCGGTTATCTAATGTGGCGCGCACATAATCCAGTGTTTTCAAAAGCGAAAAGCTCTGAGGTTCATTGGGGCTATAACCGCAGATAAGTGTGGGCTTTAACGTAAAGCACTAATGGAGAAGATAACAAATATGTATGTATAGTCCTAGACAAATAATTATAATTATGAATAACAAATATAAGGAGAGAAATTTAGTATTTAGTGTCATTGACAAGGTGCTCGAGCCTTGATGACGGCACTAATGTGCCAGCTAAGCTCAACATACTTTGCGCCTTGCTTCACCCTTAAGTGTGCTTAAAGCGCACCTTAGACAACATTGATTACATCCGAAAATAGTAATTCAACTTACCGGATCTACAAGTCCAGAGATGTTGTTACAGTGGAATACTGGTTGCTTAAATTTTTCATCAGAAACAAAAAGCTGCAGAATGAAGGAAAAAAAAAACTTTGTCAAAGCAAATGTAGCTTACATTTCTCATTTTGTTACTTCTTACTCAGCAAAGTCACCAACTAATACCAGATTATTTCTCTGAACGAAGACTTAAACAGATAAACACGAATTCATGTCATGCATCTTAACACATATTGGAACAATATATGCCATAACATGCTTCCTAGCAGATACATCTAGCAATGTCATGCTTAATTACAAATCAGATATAAATCATGTTGTGATACAGTGGAATTAACATGTCAAAGCTTTAGAAACGAACAGTACAGTTTCATAGGAGAAGGATCGTATTGGACCAAAGTAATATATATGCTCTAATACACGCCATTCTGAATTGCACATAGTAAAATACAAAGTCTTTCTAAAGGGTATTTCAAAGAGAGAACAACAAAACTACAGGATTCAGAAACATATCATAAGCAAAATTTTGTCCAGCCTGAAAAGAAGCAACAAAAGAAATATCATTATACTTGGATCGCCATTCTGAATTGCACATTATGCATATGTTGGTCTAGTTACAGCAGATTTTCAACGAGCGCCATAATAACTTGTTAATATTATAGTAAGAGTAACAAAAGAGAGTTTTCGCAACTTTCTTCTCTGATCCACAGAAAAACTATATCAGTCATGAGTGAATAGAGTTGGTTAAAAAAATGACTTGAACACGGAGCTGGAATCCAATAGATGACCCTGTTAGCATGTGGTGTTTGCAAAATCAGAGGACGGTAAAAGACGTACAAGTATTACATACCAAAGGCATGTCAAAAGCAATGAAATCCACAGGCATCTTTGCAACAAAGACCATCCGAATATTCGACAAGTAGATTGTCCCTCTTGTTCTTGTTTTTCCTACACTGATAACAAACAGTCGCATTAACACAGCGTCATGAACTAATAAAACTTAAAAGAAAAAAGACTGAAGACAATGCAAGAATTATGTGTTGAAAACAGGGTGAAAGGAACTCAAAAAGCCCCCATCCACCTAGCATCGGAGCCAAGATTTTCATTAAGGGATTCAAAATATGAAAAAAAGTAAACACACAGAAAAGTCGAACATGTTCAATATCTGCTATATATACCCACAAAATAATTTTAACCATATATAAACAGTGTAATTTTCTATCAAAAGGGGACCATATTAGCTCCGCCCCTGCTGCCACCTTCCCTTCTCATAGTATTTGCGTAAATTATACATAAATATTTTTAGAATAACATTTTTTTTTAGCTTATACACGAAACACAGAGGGTAGGCAGGGTTCACAAATTACACCATATAGATAAGGTATTCACATATATTACTATAAAATTTGAATATTGAGGGGATAAAATTTCATCTGGCGGTTTCAAGTTCAAATATTAAGCACTTTTTTTTCGAATCCCTAAATGAAAATTTTGAATCCGCTACTTAGGCGGAGATAACAAACAATAAGAAAAACTTACCCAGGGATTTTGTCGACCTCAAACTCAACACCATGTCTAGACAGGACGAACAATTCATTGAGGAAAGGAATTGGCATTCCATTAGCAAATAATTGAGGATTCACTGCCATTTTTATTTTCTGTTTTCTGATCGGAAAAAAAGGGTTGTTTTGGAATTTGGAATTTGCTTTTGAAAATTGTTGTTTTTCTACGCGGAAACTTAGGAGGTACGCTAAGATTGCCTATGAAATTTTAGGGTTAATTTTAAAGTCAGTCAAAATAAATAAATAAATATAATTTACTAAATTATTTCTATTTATTATGAATTACTAAAGCGACAATTATTTTGATACTGAAAATGTGATAGTTATTAGACATTGTTTTAGCGGATAAAATATTACTATTGGCATTTGATAGAGCTGAAATTCTATAGAGTAAGATTTATGTACATAAAATCCTTTCTAAATCTTATTTATTGAATTACACTGTACACGATATTGTTGTTGATATTCACATCTAACTCAAGGAATACATGGCATGTATCCTTAGTTACATTTTTATCACAAAATTATATTTTTTGGTTCTATATTACAGTAGATGTTTTTATCTTGGACATATAACGTAAAGAAATCGCTCATCTATGAGAACCAAACGACTCCTTATATTCTGCCCTTTTTTTAATGTGGTCGCTTGCATCGTATAGATGGCCATAATAACAATTGCTTGTTTGGCCAAGCTTTTAGTGAACATAAAGGCGTTTTTTGGAAGAAGAAAGAACACAAAACTGATGATATAGAATCAAATATAATTACAATGATAACAAAGGAGACAACTTGAAGTCATGTAGAAGAAACATATAGATACCAATCAATCAAGTGAACCTAAGAAGCTTGTAATAGTAACATCTTTACAAATGTTGCAAGTATTTTAACATACTATGAACCTAAAAATTTGAAGTTTATTTCTAAAAAAATTAAGGAAGTTGCAGATGTATACACTAGTTTACAAAATATAACTGAAATAAATGTGACATATACACTATTAAGTATTTATGTTGTGTATAAGTAGTATATGATATTTAGTAAAGTATACACGACTTATACATTGTTCGTATTTTATAATCTAGTTGATCGAAGTGTTTAGGCGTCGTAATTATCCCTAAGAAAGGGATATATACATATTCCTCAGATAATTCCTCCTCTGTGGCTGAGGAAAAAATTATGTTCCAAGAAACCAATGAACTATTGTAGTGAGGCAGAATTGAATAAGAAAGGAAGCAGGTGCATGCAGGCAGTGGCGTAGCCACATGGTGGTCTCCAATTGGACACCCTTCGTCGGAAAAAAATACAGTATATTCAAGTAAAATGATTAAATAATATATTTTGGACACCCTTAACATAACAAGTTGTTATAGCCCAGTGGTTTCCCCTCCTTGGAACGAGGAAGTGCTCGTATGTTCGAATCTCACTAGTTCTACTTTTTGAAAAAGAGTTTTTGTTGTGCTATTTATGGACACACTTTGTGAAATTCCTGGCTCCGCCACTGCATGCAGGGTACGTGGAAGGGCCGCACCTGAAGCAAGCATCAGTGGTTGATTCCACCATAGCTCAAACAATGACTAAGAACTTACGCAAAACTTAACTATTGGTCCAAGGCTTCCCTTCTGAGGAGAAATGAATAACGAGTAAGCATTCAAGTACAACATCAAGTGTTTAAAATAATACAGAAAGTTGTTAGGAGACAAAAAGGCAGTCTTCACACAGAGTTGAGAAATAAAAGCTCCATTGTTTCTTAATAAAACTGTTCTCAAGAAGTTGTTAGTTCTTGAGCATGCTTTATGTTGTTCCCTGGAAATCTCTCCTTCAAAAAAGTAACTATTTATGAGACAAATAGACATAATCAAGGCAACCAAGGCTCAACTATGATCGATACTGATAGTATATACAATCTTATTCTCCTGGAAAGAGAAAATTGTTCTGCTAATTTAGACTACAAATTATGTGTTCATTTCACAACTGAACTGAAATTCCATATGTGATAATCGTTAGGGAACACCATATTAGCAAGAGTCTATGTTTTGCTCAGACTCACCAAAAATATTGTTGCATTGGTGTCAGATCCTACAAAAGTTCATTACTCTTTTAGGATCTAACACGCACCCATCAACATTTTTGAAGAGTCTGAGCAATAGAGGCAAGAGTAACACATTGAGAACATAGACATCTTCAAGTAGTTGGCACCCATGGTTCGCGTCTTAAACTTGACTTATCCCAAAATTTAATGAGATCATTAAACAAGCAGGTTCATAGAGTGGATGCCACCCAATATTAGACAAACTATCTGTCTAATATTGCGGAAATGGCATGTTTATTGTCTATTCCCGTGATTGAAACAGATATTTTCATAGGAATATGAACAGAAACAGATACAGCAAGATTAACACGAGAGAAGACGACTAATATGATAAATAGGCATGCTGAAAACAATAACATTACCTTCCAGTGTATATCAATTGTGTCATAAAGTGGGAAGCAAATAGAAAATCAACCAAAGCATTAAGACTTCAGATTCAACAAAGTTTGTAGTCTTGCACCACTTGCTACTCTGGATGGTTACTATAGATGAAATTAATGCAGAAAGAAAATCAGCCAGCTCTAGAGAACATATTTGCTGAACGGCTCGTAAAAAAATAGTATAAACACAGGAAATTTTAGTTTAAATCTAATAAAACTTCAGCAACTCAAGAAATAAGTGAAGTTCGAAAAAAACCAGTAGAGTCACTCTTTTTAGTAATTGTATCTTTGTTTGAAAAGGTAAATGCAGGTAACAAAGCAAGACATTGCCCTATATTAGAGAACCAATCTACATTGAAACATTTGGGGGGGGCTGCAAATCTCCAAGACATACATAAACCTTCTTGCTTTCCAAACAGGATAGCTAGCAAGACGTTCCTAGATCATTGTCAGCTTGAAATAAGACTAAGCAGATGTCACAAAATCGTTTTGTTTCTTGCTTTCTAAGGTCAGATCTGATAAGTTGTCTATATGCCTTATATTCTAAACTTAGGAGATTATAAAAGAATCACAAGTAAAGCTCAAAGAATTTAACCACATCTTACCTAATCTGATGCAAAATTAAAGCTGAAAGGTATCGTTAATCTCAGATGCTGCAGAGCAGAATCCTCCCAGATGCTGCAGTGTTAATTCCTTCCTCCTCCAAGTTGAAGCAGCACATGATAGAATACGGCATCATGTCATCCATAAATGTATGATATACTATAACATTTTTAACAACTACAGTTTAATCTTCTGAGTACTACTGAGGAACTTATATAGCATGAAGATCATTAACGTAAATAATCATCAAATACTCTTCTGTTGAAACTTGAGCTGTTCCATTTTGAATCTCTGGTACACATCACACACTTATACATAGAATAGACATCAAGCTGCAGCAAAATTATCTGATCCATAACCAATCTAAGAAAGCTTGAGTATAGAAATTTAGAGTTCTATCCTCCTTATATGTTCGGCTCCACAGCATTTCACATGATTCAACTTCAAACTGTCCCATGCATTAGTTGATCAGTCGACAGGTGAATCCAGATATGCAATAAATAAATACTTCATTTTATCCAGTATGGTGGCAACTCAATCACTGAGATGTCGAAAACATCTAATTATAGCACCCATTCAAGATAACACAATGTAAGTTCAGTAATAAATTAAAGTCCATAGCACTCTTTTGAGTAGGAAAGTTTAAGCTCACAACTGATATAGTTTCAACAAATTACAGAATTAAATTCAACGGAAACCTCCACGGTTTCCTTACAAAATATTCATGTGGAACTACAGGTTTTCATAGTCCACACTGATCCCCTATTATCTCTTGTTACAAAGTGATCAAAGCAGCTTATTATGAGGTCTGCAAACAACAGAACAAACCCACCAAATTCATCACAAGCAACAACTTCCCCTGATGCTTGTGTTTCGTGTTATCGTCCCACAGCTTACAACACCAAAACTCGGTGAACGTAAACTCTTGACAAATGAGATAAAGCAAACAAACCTAATCCTAGCAATAATTCATGAAATTGAACAAACCCCTAGTTCATTTCTCACTCACTAGAACCTAGCAACAAATTTCTCATCTAACACAATCAAGAACATTAAAACACATTTATACGATATATTAACAACAACAATAACAATATCAATAACAATAATAATATTCATATCTTCAGCGTCCGTCGTCGTCTCTTCTCCCGGAAGAAGGCTGTGGAGGACCTGATAGAGAAGCTAGCAAATTGAGATGCCCTTGAGTCATTGGTAAGTAATTTCCAACTCTAGCAGCTGAAGCCTCTCCCATCTGCTGCTGAAAGAATCTAGAACTCTGCGAACTTAACGCCGCCGCGGCCGCAGCTG